ATATCAGCCCCCTCGACAGAATATGAAGTTAAATGGCTCACTCGACATTTAGCTTCATATTCTGGCTCGCGGGCTGATATTTTTCTATATCTACATATCCACATCCAGATAACATGAACATTTCGTCTTCAGGTCATTGTTCCACTACTAAATTGTCTATTCTACTTACTAGTACACTTGGTACAATCAAAAACCTGATAATAAGGCCTTTGTAAATAGTGGAATAAACTACTTTTGGAGTGTCAAAAACTCATTGATAGTACTTGATAAATTGCATGCATATATTGGTAATTTTGAATCTGTTCAAAATTTTGATTTTTCTACCCTATATACCACTTTGCCTCATATTCTTATTAAGAAAAAAATCACACACCTAATTAAATGGGCATTTAAAAAGTCGGAATGCGAATACATATGTTCAAACTCTTTTAGGTCAATTTTTAGTAGCAACAACCAAAAGAGCTATGTCAATTGGACATGCTTTGATACTATATCTGCCTTTGAATTTTTACTTGATAACATTTTTGTTCGCTTTGGAGATTCCGTATATCGTCAAATTATCGGAATTCCAATGGGGACTAACTGTGCACCACTTATTGTGGACCTGTCTTTGTATTGTTATGAGTAACAATTTATGACTAAAATCAGCAAAGACCCATCAAAACAATATCTGATACAAAAATTTAACAATACTTTTAGATATTTGGATGATATATTGGCTCTCAATAATGACGACTTCAGTATGTATACTAAAGAAATTTATCCTGTTGAACTTACTTTAAATAAAGCTAATACTAACAATGACCACTGTCCTTTCCTCGATCTTGATATCTATATCATTAACAGGAAGCTTAATACAAAAATTTATGATAAAAGAGATGATTTTTCATTTCCTATCGTTAATTATCCATTTTTAGACGGTGACGTTCCCTTGTCACCATGTTATGGTGTTTATATATCTCAACTTGAACGATTCGCTCGTGTATGTAACAACGTATAAGATTTTAGCGAGAGAAATTTATGTATTACTGAAAAATTATTACACCAGGGTTTTCGATATTATAAACTAGTCAAAACATTTACTAAATTTTATCATCGGTATAAGGACATCATTCGCAAATATAACTCAACATGCAGACATCTTATACGTTCGGGTATTTCACATCCAATCTTTTATGGTAATATTCTTTACAAAGCACAAAAATGTCAGTATTCACCTCAAAAGCTAACAAAACCTTTAAACAGACTTATTAAGAAGGGATATAGTTACGATACTGTTGTCAGGTCATTAAAGATTGCATATTTTGACTTTAATATTGATTCACTTATAGGGTCTTTGCATCGGAATTAAACATATTCATTCTAAAACCAGTTGTTGGCATGACACGGGTTATGTTCTTCTCATATATTTTATGATGGTATAATACTAAACCCCTAACAGGAGGGATTGTGCCTGATATTCATATGATGAAGACATAATCTTTCAATCAGTTAAATTGATGTCTGGAGCTGGCATGTCAGTAACTGCTAGTAGTCTGTTGTTTTTTTATGTATTATTGTCATTTTGTTTATTTTCTTTTGTTTCCTATTCTGACATCGGACTCGGACTTCTCTTAAACTGAGTTTTACTGTGCGTACTGTTGTACGTTTGTTTTTTTCTACATTGGCTAGAGGTATAGGGGGAGGGTTGAGATCTCAAAAAACATGTTTAACCCCGCTGCATTTTTGCGCCTTTCTCAAGTCAGGAGACTCTGGCCTTTGTTAGTCTTGTATCATTTTTAATTTTAGTTACTTGTGTATAATTTGGAGTTTAGTATGACGTCCATTATTACTGAACTAATATACATATTTGTTTAGGGGCCAGCTGAAGGACGCATCCGGGTGCGGGAGTTTCTCGCTGCATTGAAGACCCATTGGTGGCCTTCGGCTGTTGTCTGCTCTATGGTCGGGTTGTTGTCTCTTTGACACATTACCCATTTCTATTCTCAATTTTATTTATCCAACATTAGACAACTGACTATATGATACGTTGACATGAATTATCATTGATATGATCATAATTATTATTATTTGTTGACAATACTGGTGGGTTTTCAAAATACCCCATGAATAGATAACGTTAGCTGAATTTTGCACAACCTTTTGTAATTTTGTTTCCTCAGTACTCTTCAACTTCGTTCTTTATTTTGCTTTAATTTTTAAATTTTTGATTCGGGCGTAACTGATGAGTTTTTTAAAGTCGTCTGGCGTAAAAGTTTAATCCAGGTATCTATGATGAGTTAATTCCAAACTTCAATGTTGGAACAGTATAGGAAACAACCGAACCACATCAATATCAAATCAGAGTTAAATAAACAGAATTCATGGCAATCAAAGAACTTTCTATGATTTTGTTAAATGTTGCAACTAATGTGTTTTCTTTAAAATAATAATGACCATAATAATGAACTAAAAGGGGGCTTCGTGCACGAAGAATTAACTATCATTTACTTGAAAATGGCTATATGTTCCTTTCAGACATCTTTAAAAAAAAAATCGCGTCGGAGGTGGTATTCATTATCCGATATCGATAGAAGAAGAGGTTTCGATTACTAACCTGGTTTCTATACAGCTTTATAAGCACAATCATCTCGTTTGTTGCGTTGTAGCGTACACCATACGAAAAGAGATTTGCCAAACATGACATTGAAGAAAAGCAGCACAGATAGTAAATTGTCTTCCTATTATGCTATGTTACATTTTGAGCAAAAGTGTATTCATATTCCAATAACAATGATTAATATTTAATTATCTTCAAAATGTTTGGAGCAGCAACAATAAATCAATCAATCATCTTTGAAAGAAAAAATAGGAAAGGATTTTATGAAGTGCGTGCTGAAAGTAAATCTTATGTTCAAGATCAGTTAAATCGTCAGGTTTTATCTTTATACAGTGCCAGACCTTTTTCTATGTGTAATACCACCAAATCATAGTCCGTCACATCCGGTTGCATACGAAAAAGGGTCGAAAAAAAAATTCCCTTGAATTTGACTGTTGTAGGAAATTACATTTCATTGCAGTAAAAAAAATCTGAATCATATATCTTGGGTGTTTCAAAGCACCATTTTTTTTTAATTTGGTGTTTCTATAAAATATTTTGGAAACTTGAGATTACATGGTTACTACAGCTTGTAAACAGGAAAAAAAGAAGTGAAAATTTGATAGGGTAACTTCCAGTGATAGTTATTATCTTCTATGCAATGAAATGTTATCTGAAATTTTGTCTGTAGTACTGGAAAGGATACAACTTTACTCATACCAAGTATTTCTTTATTTGAAACAAAGATAAATTCTGCACAATTTTTTGAAAAGTGCAAATTTAACAAAGACTAATAGTGGAAAAACAAAGGTGGCATTACAACTCTACCAATACAAAATTCTTAAAGTTATACATAACTGCAATAAAACTGTCAAACAGAATATAACAATTTTTTTCTGTTATTGTAAATAATAAAACCAAATGGCCAACTTTGACAAATATACAATTAGTTAGAGACAATTAACATTGTTAAGTAATTATACAAATATGGCAGATTAAGCTATCTGAAACGGTGATGGAGCGCATCACATACAATTATAAAAGCGAAACTAATGCTGTCATATGTCAAAATTAAGAGCAGAGTATCTTATTTCGTTAATTATTATCTCTTTAAAAAAACCTAAATGTGAGTTAAAAGTACAAATACTGATAAAGGCCATGGACTTAAACGAGTTTTTGAAATAATCGATGTCGACACAAAGAGATTAGACTGTTCTTTTTAGATATGTTAAAAAAAAGACAACTTGTCTCATTTGTAAAAAAAAAAAAAACTAGTAGACTGGTATATATTTTTTAAACGAATACAACATATTATTAATAACAGTGTTGGATCACTGCCTCTTGAAAGGATGATTCGCAGAAAATAGTATAGCGTAGCTGGGACCCTTTTAATATGTAGTGTAGTGTGACATTTCTTATTCAGTTCCCTTCTTGTAATAAAAATGGTTTGGACTTTACTATTAGAATAGTACTAGCTTTATAGCTATGCCTATTCTAAATACAAGACAATTACCTGTTATCACCAGCCCAGTAGACAGCACTTCTCTGTGTTGACATGAATTATCATTGATATGGTCATAATTATAAATTAACTGTTTACAAAACTTTGAATTTTTGAAATACTAAGGCTTTTCTACCTTAGGATTAGATTACCTTAGCTGTATTTGGCAAAACTGTTAGAAGTTTTTGGTCTCCAATGCTCTTCAACTTCGTACTTTATTTAGCCTTTTTAACTTCTTTTGATTCGAGCGTCACTGATGAGTCTTTTGTAGACGAAACGCGCGTCTGGCGCAAATACAAAATTTCAATCCTGGTATCTATGATGAGTTTATTTACAACCACTGGGTCGATGCCACTGCTGGTGGAGTTTTTATTCCCCCTGGGTATCACCAACCTAGTAGTCAGCACTTCTGTGTTGACATGAATTATCATTGATATGGTCATAATTATAAATTAACTGTTTACAAAACTATGAATTTTTGAAATACTAAGGCTTTTCTACCTCAGGAATAGATTACCTTAGCTGTATTTGGCAAAACTTTTAGAACATTTTGGTCCTCAATGCTCTTCAACTTCGTACTTTATTTAGCCTTTTTAACTTTTTTTGATTCGAGCGTCACTGATGAGTCTTCTGTAGACGAAACGCGCGTCTGGCGCAAATACAAAATTTCAATCCTGGTATCTATGATGAGTTTATTTACTTGAACGAATACCATTATATCATTATTATATTTTGGTATCATTATTTTTACTAACTTTTCCGCTTTTTAAACAAAAGCAATTATGTGATTATATCGTTGTTTCATATATTTTTCTAACATAATTGGTAAATTTAGTGTTGTATAGCGCCTACACGGCTGACTACTTACTTAAATATTTTGTCACTAAATATCAAATAATTTTAACTGGTTTTATGCAAATGAGCGAAAAATTAATATTAATTGTGGTAAAAGATATGATATAAAAGAGGTGTTTTAGGGCGTACAAAGCAACGTTTTCAAGGATTCTGTGAAACATGGATGTTCTACATTTTGTGCTGCTTTCGTTTGTAAGTACATTTATATGATTTGTCGAGTACCTATTTGAAGCAATTTTATGTAATATATTTATTTTTGACTAAAGTAGTCAAATTGAGTTTATGGTATGAGATACAACCATAAACAAAACATGATATATAAAATGCTCAAGAGGTAGACAAAAATCGGAAGACTGTTTAACATTAAGACACCAGTGAAGTTTATTTTTCGCTTTAAGTTTTACTTAATAGTTAATTTTGTTTTTGCGTTTATACCCTTTTGTAATTAAATGCTTGTTATTTAATATTTCATCTATTTTCAATTTGCAATGCAGTGTCGGTTTTTTATTGTCAGTTTCATCAATATACAAAAGAAGATGTGGTATGATTGCCAATGAGACAACTCTCCACAAGAGACCAAATGACACAGAAATTAACAACTATAGGTCACCGTCCGGCCTTCAACAATGAGCAAAGCCCAAACCGCACAGTCTTGTCTTGAAACAGAATTTAAATACTGCTTGCAATACACGTTTGAAAATAGTTGAAACAAAGATATCAGTGAATTTAGTAGTTATCTTCCTTATCCTAGACCTACTTTCTCAATAAACTGTATCCTTTCTTTCCATTATGTCACTTTATCGGCAATTTGTAAATGTTCCCTTTGAGCTTACTGCCTAATTTTTTCAAGATCATGGACAGGACTTTATACTAAAAAAAAAAAAAAAAAAAAATAGGCAATGACGTCATGTATCAGTGCACCAACGTCATGTGCTTAAGTCTATCCGTGTCAATTTATTAATGAAATGCACACGATTTCATTCATACAACCGAACAACTATCCTAACGTTTTGAACACGTAAAAGTAGTTTTACTACTTATTTTATTTTACTTCATATTCTTAACCTAAAAAAAACCTACAGTTAGAACAAATTGCCGATAAAAAGAATAATGGCGGTTTTTATTTTGATACTTACTGCATCAGCTCAAATATCAGCTCGCTCTAAGGGGTTCGCTTGATATTCTTGCTGATAAAGTCAGTATCAAAAACAAAAATGCCATTATTCTATATGTATTAGAATGAATATTTGTATAAACACAAAGCTCTTTTTAATAATTCTGTTGGAGAAATTAAATGATGGAAATTGATTCTATCGCTTTATTTCAAACCCAAGATTTTGAGGGAATTGTTTCTATGAAGAAGGACGAACAGATTAATATTTCAATGAGAACCTATTTGTGATTATAAATAATTTTGAGGAAAATTGTATGCTTATGCATTTTTCTGTTTTTAATTCTCTTTAACTTCGTACTTGATTTGGTATTCCAACTATTCGTATTTGAGCGCAGGCGATGAGGTTTATGTAGAAAAATCGCGCGTTTGGCGTATATTGTGATGAGCGTGTATGTTTGATGAGTTTCTATGATCTTAATTGATGGTAAGAGGTGGTCAAAGTTTAGTAAAGGAAAGAATGAGCTGGTTGCAGTTGGGTTCGAGATGACATGGAATCAACCACCCTTTATCAGGGTTACTGCGCATGTGCAAAAGATTAAAAAAAAAACAGAATTGAAAGTGTTTTGATTCATTAGTATATGTATATAGATTTTTATATTGATTTTCCTACTTGATTTTTATAGTGTGTGTTGGTAATGGGTTGAAATTTTATACAGTAATGATAATTAATTATATACCCTTGTCGTATATCAGATCTATACTAAGACATATCAAGCAATAAATAGGTAATATCTCATTTCTATAACATATGTTGTTTGGTTTCTGTTTAGTAAACTTTTATTATGTTTTTGTTAATCAAAATTGAATTTTAAAACATAAATACAACTCGAGCAATGCTGTATTTTATATTGTATTCTAATCGAATAGTTTTCATTGTCATTTAGGTCCTCCTTATTAGCGGTGAGTACAAATTGTATAATTATATGTTTTTCTCTAATTCTTAGCCGATTTATACTCATTTATGATAACTGTTGGAATATTCACTTCTGACGCAACATACATATAAAGTCTTTTTATCTCTCTTTTTTTTAAGTTAAATTTTCGATTTTTTATAATGTATCTTATTCTTAATAAAATATTAGTTTTGATTTATAGATATCTTAACTATTATTTAGAATGTTTTAGCTAAGTTTCCGTTAGTCATACCTTATTTCATCAGTTTTAAGTATAACCTGAACTTATGTACGGCAGTTAAAACAGCTTGTTTTGTTTCCTACTGTCAATCTCAAGTGACATTATTGCTAGTTTGTTTTCATCGTCTGCATAGATGACATAACTTTAGTATTACAATAATTCAAATAATTAAATTTTTCAAATAAGGGGGAAATAACACTTAATAAATATGTTGTTATAAACCATGTTAGTACCAAAGCGCTGACTGTTGAGCTGATGAGCTCCTGGGACATTCGATGACTAATAGTCCATCGGCAGCGGTATCTACTTAGTGCTGTATAATAACACTTTATAATTTTTTTGCGTCCGAAACACCATTATGGATTAACCTTCACCAGGAACGCTCAACCTCTTAATTTCTAAAACCAAGGATATATAAATATTTAATTCAATATTTGAGGAGCAGGAAGACTGAAAAGGACATCAAAAGCATAACCAAAGACTTCTTATGAATTACTTCGACGAGGGGAGCTTGAATCTTAGTTTCTTTCATGTCTTGTCAAATCATAAAATAATAAACCAGGCAGAGCTAAACTAAAAAGGGTTTGACTGTTCTGTTTTAGCCCTTGTGTTTTGTATGATCCCGTACATTTTATATGTTTGGCTTTCCACACTTTAAGTCACGAGCATACCTGATTGGTTGTTTAAAACCACCTGATGTGCGCAGGCAGCTTATTAGTTTATCATACAATGTTTATGTTTACATCTGTTTATTTTTGACATGATTTTTAATTCACAGTTTCAAATGGAATGGCAGCAGGCAGGTTCAAACGGGCACCATTTTGTAAGACCAGGATTGATCTTGCTTTTGTTATTGACTCCTCCAGAAGTATATCAAGAAACGATTTCAAAAAACAAATGCAATTTGTAAATGATATCGTCGACTTCCTTGATGTCGGTTCAGACGAGACAAGAGTTGCCGCGGTATCTTTCAGTAATCATCTGTTCCCTCAATTTGGATTTAATGATTACACAACCAAGACAGATGTGCTTACAGCTATCAATGGTATTAAGCATTCTATGGGTGACGCAACTAGGACATATCTTGCTTTAGAACACACACACCAAAAATTGTTCGCACCTGGTAATGGGGAAAGACCTGATGTGGTAGATGTTGTTGTTGTCTTGACAGACGGAGCTACAAATCCTGGCAGTTATGATAGGCTTACTGGAAGCCAGGGAAGACAACAGACCCAAAAAGAAGCAGCCTTAGTTAAAGAGAGAGGAGCTTATATATTTGCCATTGGAGTTGGAAGAGGGGTCAATGTCGACGAGCTCAATGGAATATCCAGTGATCCAGATCAAAGATTCACCATCCAAGTGTCAGGTTTCTCAGAGTTAAATTCGGATGAAGTTAAGCAAATGTTGCTAAAACGTGCATGTGTTGGTGAGTATATAAACAATTTCGGTAAAACGACAATGAAAGTGACGTTATATTTGTAGAATATTTATTTATCATAGATAAAGGACAGAATAATATTCAAACAGTAACTATATTACGAGGGAACCAAGCTCCTGTCCAAAATCTCAATAAATCTGATCGTTGGACGAAAATATGTTTTACAGTATACTGTGAACATGGAAAGAAGATTCAATAATTGAAATGAAGTGGTGGAATAAGTTTTGGCTGCCAAATACAAATAATTTAAATTTTTAAATGAGGTGGACTACTAAAAGCTGGCATTCTTGTGGGTGGACCTAAAATAATTTTAATGTTTTAATCCTTTACAGTTTCTCTTTGATTATTTAAAAGTAATTGATTCATAAGAGATTTACTACTTGAAAGTTAAATGTTTTGATTCATAATGTCCGTACAAGGATAGTTGTGTGTGTGTGTGATATGGAGTGAAAAGTTTGATATACAAATACAAAATCCTCAATTCCCACCCAGATATAGGAAAATACAGTATAAAGTGCATATCATCTAGATCAAAGTATTACATAATAGGTTTGTGCGCTATTTTAACAACATTCTTCTGTAAAACAAATTTTGATTTGAAGGCCTATCTTTCAAATGAATGAATATAGTTATGTGTCTTCTTTCAGTTTATTTTGTTTGCACCACCAAAAAAAAAAAAATGCAGTGGTTTTGTTTCAATATTTTCATTCTCTCTTAGTTACAGCAATAATATAACCTGTGAAATGTGATAAAAATGCAGGTTTAAATATCAAGGAAGCAGGTAAATAACCCGACAGAAATAAACAAACTAAAACGAATATACTAAAAATAGTTCAAAGCAACTGACTTTTCCGGAACTTATTATCATAATTTTTCATTCAAAATATATGAACCTGTAGTCATGTATCATTATTATCTTTGCATTCTTCATTTTATGTATTATGTCTTTCTTTTAAGAATACAATGCAATAAACTATTGGCAGACATTTTTTCTTTGTACTTGACCAATCTATGCCACAACTTTGTTATTTTATCGGACAGTATTCGATTTCATATCTCAAACAATATCAATTACTATATCGATGATCATTTAGTGCAATATTTCTCATGTGCTACGTTTATACAAGCAAATACTAATCTCAAAGTCAACACTTATTCGTCAGTCACGGTGTTATATCTCATATTTCCTATGCTCACGGGTCAAAGTGTACATTTTGATATACCATTGCATTCTAAACGAAAAACCAAAAAAATGTGTTCAGGCCTTATAACCATGGATCACATTTGTCATCATTTCGTGGTGGAGTGATACTTAACGCGCATCTGTAATTATAATCCTGGTATCTATAATGAGTTTACTTAGAGTATCTTCATAAAAGTTGATTTCCGAAAAATGGTCGTTCCTAACATATTGTTTTTTTTTTTTATATTTCAGAAATTGAGACTACACCGGCACCAACACCCCCACCTACCACAACACGTAAGTTTAATTGGTTAAAATCAAAATTATTCAATGCAAGAAACAATTTGATTAAAATCCGATCTTTCACTTTATTCCTTGGATAGATTTGTTTGACGCTGGTGCATGAGCGACAAACAAATATAACGGATACGGACCGGTAATTGATGATCTAATTTTAATCAGATTTGGGAAGAACAAAAAAAAAAAGAAGAATATCAGATACAAAAACAGCAACATAAAAAAGTGCAAAAACTTTCGATTTTTTTTCTTCTAAAATTGTCCATGGACGAATCCCGATCGAGGGGTGCTACCTATCGGTCATTCGGAAAGTTCCTTTATGAAATGTAAAAATTTTCATATAGTGTAGTAGTTCTTCCGTAATAGGTTCAGACATACATTAGAACAGTGTTATATACATTTAATAAATTAATTGCGAAAACTAAGAACAGAAAACATCAAACAAATAATAAAAACCTTTTGGCTTTTATCAAACAAATAAAATACATTGTTATATCTACTAAAAAAGGAGGAGATTAGGTCCATGAACCATCCGATTTTTTTTATCTGGTAATCAAAATTGCATGATGGATCACATGTACTTCACTACTGATGCCTACAATATTCAAGAAACGTGGTATACGATTGGGAGGTTTAACTTGCTATAAAACAAGGTTTAACCCACCATTTCCTGCAAGAATATAACAGTTATGTTTCACTGATTCCGTTGATTGATAACTGTTGATTTTGTCAGTTTTTATGGACTTAACCTTTTAGAATTTACCTTGGAGTTCGTTATTGTTGTTATACTCTTTTATACATTATTGAAAATACCTTATATCTAATTTGAAAGTGATGAGATGTGGTATGAATTCCTTTAACACAGCTTTCAAACCGAAACCATTCGGCATTCAATGATAAGCAGAACATACGTTAATATTCGAATCACTATGGCTGTTCTACCCCAGGTATAGGTTGTCTTAGTCATGTTATGTACCATTTTTTCTGTTTTTTATGCTCTTCAGCTTCATATTTGATTTTGCCTCCAACTATATTGATTCGAAAAAGTAAAATCACAAAAAAACTGAACTCCGAGGAAAATTCAAAAAGGAAAGTCCCTTATCAAATGGCAAAATAAAAAAAAACCAGACACATCAAACGAATGGATAACAACTGTCATATTCCTGACTTGGTACAGGCATTTTCTTATGTAGAAAATGGTGGATTGAACTTGGTTTTATAGCTAGCTAAACCTCTCACTTGTATGACAGTCGCATCAAATTCCATTATATTGACAACGATGCGAGTGTCACTGATGTGTCTTATGTCGATCATGTAGATGTAAAACAAAAATATAAGCCTGGTGTATTTGATGAGTTTTTATTTTACTTAAACGTTTTCTTCTACACTTTAAGTCTATTGTATTTCATTGAACGGACATTTTCTTTGTAGCCGAACAGAAAGAAGTAGGTAAGTATTTTTTTTTAGTTGCAGCTTACTTTAAATGCAAACGAATTGTTTGTGTATTCTTGCTATATTATCAGTACTTTTTTTTTACTTTTCAAGACATTGAAATATAAATAATCATTCATCATGTTCATTATAAAAATAAAAAGATGGGTATGACTGCCAATGAGACAACTCTCTATTAAAGTTTAAATGACGTTGATGTAAACAATTATAGGCAACCGTACAGTATTCAACAATGAGAAAAATTCAATACCGTATAGTTGGCTTTAAAAGAGCCCGACATGAAAAATGTTCATGCTTATTTTACTTCTACGTAAAATTACTATGAATTCGTCCCAAAACCTTGATAATACAATAATAGAACGAGGACACACATATACATTTGTTTTATATAAAGCACTGTTAGGTGTCATTAATTGAATTTACCTTTAACGGAAAAAGGAGAGTCAATATTCTTTCGAAGGCTTTGGTAAAAACAAAAGCAGCAGAACAGGGAATGAGGGAGAAGATAATTCGCCTCTTGTTGGAAGGTAGGGTTTCAAAAATATTTTATAAAGATGTTGCTTTATAAAGTTCTTATATACTGAATTGAATCCTAAAACCCACGAATGTCCCCTCTTCTCTGTGAGTATATTACTGAAATAACTCCCCCCATTGTTGCCGGTTGAATAATGGTTTAAGCTCACATCAGTCATGATTATATATTAATGACTTAGGGTTTGTTGAATTGTCATCATCAAACCCTTCCCGATTCTTTTTTCAAAGTCAATAAGGCATCAATCTTCGACAGCAATGGGTCCCGTAACATTCATATACATTAGTTAGTTGAAAAAGAGAGGCGAAGGATACCAAAGGGACATTCAAACCCACAAGTCGAAAATAAACTGCCAACGCTATGGCTAAAAAGAAAAGACAAACAGACAAGCAACATTACACAAAACACAACATAGAAAACCAAAGACTGAGCAACTCGAACCCCACCAAGAACTTCGGGGGTGATCTGAGGTGCTCCGAAAGGGTCAGCAGATCCTACTCCACATTTGGCACCCGTCGTGTTGAAAAATCTTTTAATCTACATATATTTCATATTAAATTGTATCCCTTTCAACATTAATAGTAACAACAAGTTGAGATTTAAAGCTCTTTGTTAAAGAAGTTTTACGCATAAAATCATTCCACGTGAAAAACTATGTAAATATATACAAACTTTTTAGTAAAGCTTCTATGAATATGAACAAGAAAAATGAAAGCAATAAACATAAGAAATGTGATTAAAATGCAGGTTAAAAAACTAAGGAAGCAGAAAAATAACTCGACAGACATAAACAAACAAAAACGAATATACCAAAAATAGTTCAACACTACTGATTTTTCAGAAACTTATTACCAGAATTTTTCATTCAAAATATGTGAACCAGTAGTCATATATCAATATTATCCTTGCATTCTCTATTTAATATATTATGTCTTTCTTTCTTTTAAGAATGCAATGAACTATTGGCAGACATTTTCTTCGTACTTGACCATTCTTCGAGCTTGAAAACAGAAGGAAATTTCAACAAGACGTTAAATTTCGTAACCGGTGTAATCGATTATCTTCACGTATCGCCTACAGAAACACAGGTTGGAGCTCTTAAATTTAGCAACATCCCAGAGATGCAATTCCATTTAACAGACTATACAGACAAGCAAGATGTAGCAAAGGCCGTTTCAAGGATAAAGTGGAAAGGGGGAAATACTTTCTTAGATAAAGCATTGAGAATGTTGAGGACAGAAGGACTCAATAAAGCATATGGTTCTAGGGAAGATGTTCCACAAATCGCTGTAATAATTACAGATGGTGTTTCTACAGATCCTTATGCAACAAAGCTAGAACTGAAACAGCTTCACAGTCTAAACTACATCTTATTTGCTATTGGTAAATATGTATTCTTAGTTTGCCTATCAAATCTAATACATTTCAACATTAGTTATGCGTGAAAAATGTAAAACATAGAAGTAGCAAATAACAGTATAAAACTCATTTTTGCGCCTGTCCCAAGTCAGGAGCCTCTGGCCTTTGTTAGTACTGTATGGTTTTTTTTTAATTTTGGTTCAATTGTGTGTATAGGAGTTTAGTATGACGTCCATTTTCACTGAACTAGTACACATTTTTGTTTAGGGCCAGCTGAAGTCCGCCTCCGGGTGCAGGATTTTCTCGCTGTGTTGAAGACCCATTGGTGGCCTTCGGTTGTTTTCTTGACTCTTTGGTCGGGTTGTTGACTCTTTGACACATTTCCCATATCCATTCTCTATTTTAATTTGTATGCCAACAGTATTTGCAGTTACATAAAGAAACTGTTTCACAAATTAAAGATACTCACTATCTTTTTAAAAAAAGAGGGGCAAAATCGAATCAGGATAAAAATAGATGACGGAAACCACGCATATGGTAGATGTATAGACTTAAACAAAAACAGGCAAATGCAGTCAACGACACATCAAAAACTCAAAATGTTGGTGATATAAACTTTAATAGAACCATAACTGATATCAGATAAATAAGAGTGGTCGAATGCATCGATCTAATTTCTGAAAAGACATTATATAATATTTGTTTAACCAAATTAAAGCATGATAATAATAATAATAATAATAATAATAATAATAGTAATAATAATAATAATAATAATAATTATAAGAATAAAAATAAAAAATAATAATGATAATGATGATAATAATAATAAATTAACCATGTAGGAGTTGGACCTGACAGAAACCCTGAAGAATTGGCTCGTATTGCCAACAACCCAAACAATGTATTTGAAGTAGAAAGCTTAAATGGACTGCAAGCCATCAGAGAGTCTCTGGTCACGAGAATATGTGCCGAGCGGGTTCGTAAGTATTTAATATTATAAACATACTGCCCTTGGATGAAGGTGTTAGGGTAGATTAACACACGTGGGAAAAATTATCACCGAAGACGAAGTCGCGCTTGATAATTTTTTCACCGAGTGTGTTTATAAACCTAACACCTTCATCCAAGGGCAGTATGTTTTTATTATAAATTAAGATAGTTTACTAATAACAACAACAAAACGACGGAAATGATGTAGAAATAAGAATCGGTAAACCTCGGCCGGAGTGGATGTTAATTGTTCCGGATCGGCAAACTTCGGGCTTAGCGGGTGTTAATTTTAGGCATTAGCACCAGTTTCTAATATTATCACATGTTGCTATGGGTGGGCAGGGCTTATGAAAGATTAGTGAAAATGTCGCGTGTCGAATGAAATGAATGGATTATATAAGAAATTTGCATAAAGTATAATAATATCAAATAGCACTTAGGTTCATAGACTTATTACTATACTTTATATAAAAAAAGTATTTGCGATGAAACATTTGGGTCGGAAAATACCTTCACATTTCTCAAAAGTAAGGAAAGTTTTTCAAAAAATGTGAATACACATAACCCCGATCCAGTTCAATTTTTTTTAAAGTACAAAAAAATTCCCGGATTTGAATAAATAGACAAACCGTTGTACAGTGTTTGTAGAATTGTCTCAATTAAAGACGTTAAATTGATATGAAAAATACATAAAATAAGACAATTAAAGGCGGCAGATTCAAGGGGAGCAGATCGTAAAATGATATAAATTTTGGTATAAAATTATCTAACAAACCAAGCAGCGGTCAGCTCGGCTTCATTTTTACTTGAATCGACAATTAAAGGCGACCCCTCTTTTTTCCTCAAACCCTGGATCCACCGACTATATAAGAACGATACTTGAAAATGAATCTTCATGATCTAGGTACAGTAATCTGCATGAACTCGTTTACCGTGTAAGATATACTTGAAAGTGAATTGTCATGATCTAGGTACAGTAATCTGTATGCACTCGTTTACCGTGTAAGATATACCTGAAGGTGAATCGTCATGATCTAGGTACAGAAATCTGTATGAACGCGTTTATCGTATAAGATCCTCCACTATCTTTGTAGAACATGATTTTATTTGAAATTTGAAGTATATTAATTCTAAAGCATTGATAAAATGATGATATTGTTATAGTTCTATCATGGTATTCATTGCATTTTTTACGACCCTTTATATCTTTCTGTTATTGAATTGTTCAAAACATGATGGAAAGCATCGTAGCAATCACATAATGAAAATAAACAACTTGTATAAATGCTGTTTCTTGACATAATTTACCAGAAATTCAAGAATTGTCGTTTAATATACGCTTAATTCTTTTTTCTAAATACTTATCTTGATAGATAAATACAATATATTATCACATATTTGTTACGAAAACATTGGGTTTTGCATATGTAATAACCGCACAAATGTCCTACTCATATTACTGCCTGGGGGCAAAAAAGTGGTTATTGGTTATTGTGCCCCGGTTTCAAATGACGGGACGTCATTGCGTCCTTAACGACAATGGCAAACAATGACGATGTTTGTATTGAAAATTATGAGAATTATGCTACAATGGCCACTAGTAACAATGTCAAACCAACTATTATCGATTTAGGCCAAGTTATGCCAAATTCTCGCTTTTGTGTATAACCATATTCATAAATAAGGGGAATGTTACAATAAATTTGTATGCAGTAAATACTAAAAGTTAATGGAAAATGTGATAAATCTTTTTAGATATTACCTGTTGTGGTTTATTAAATAGTTATAATTGAACGTTTTTCTATTTTCTGTGGAACTTAAATATGTGATAAATTGATTATAACATGTCTTTTCCATATTGGCCCTGGTATCATTCTTCGACCCATATCGGCCCTCGGCTAAAGCCTCGGGATGATATGAGAGTCTTGGGATGATACCAGGGCCAATATGGAAAAGGGCATGTTATAATGTATAATAATTCTTTAGAATTGTTACACATACTGATAAAACATACATTTATAGTAAAATATGTTTCATGTGATATATTTATATATTTTTGCATATTACAGGTGCCCCAGTAGACATAAAGAAACCTTAAATAAGATAGATATGAAAACCCAGGTATGTTTTTATTGTTTCATTTGCATGCTGTGTTGATATGTTTAAATCCTTATATTATATTTCCAATTGAAATATTCTAGAATAGAGCTATTTGTTTATCATTTAAGGATTATTTTTAATAACTGCAATTCTTTAAAAACACAAAAAAAGTGTGTACTATTTTAGATAATTGTTGACGTGGCTTTAAAGTCTTGATAATCCAGCAACTGTTAAACATGCAGTAATAGACAAATATCAATTCCTTATATAGGTATATGTTTTATTTGCAGAATACATTAATATTCAAAGATACAGGAACGATTTAACGGACGAACCAGTAGCAGGATTTGATGAACATTGTACAGTTGTTACGCCTATTGTTTATATATTTATATGTATGTATTAAACATCAGCATTGCAAAGTAATTGTTCTTTGGATCATTTACCTACTTGATAATCTTTTTCACAAGAAAAAAAATATCAATGTGTTCACATGAGAACGTACAGTTTCGTTCGTTTTTTTCTTCATGTATCAATTTGTTCTTCCAAAAAATGCATAAAAAGGCAAATTGTGAAACATTCTTGAAATCATTCAATGTGCTCCCTCGACAAAAATGCTCCATATTCTGACTCTCAGCTGATAATTCAAAGTATCAACATGTAGAAAATCTGTTAATCGTTATTTTCTCACTTCGTTTCAATTTTGTTTGTTCTTGTGTTGTTGTCCAAGTTTAGGAGAGAGTTGAGCGCTTATAAATATGCATTATTTATGCATATGGCCTTAGCTTTGAACCTGTTATCATGTGGTCGTCAATAATTATGGTTGCTATCTGCGATTGGTTTTGATTAGTATTAATCCGGCCGGCTGTTTTGTCTTTTGATTTGTTTCTTATTGTGTCATCATGGAGCCTTTTAAAGCTCAACATACGGTATCGGTTGTGCTCATTTTTGAAGTTTATGTAGTCATTGATCACATCTTTGTCCTTTTGGGTTTTATCATATCATATTCAATCATATCAAATCATCATATTTTGATAAAGAAAAATTAACATTGTCCGTTTATTTCAACGTAGCTAAACTGAATATTTTTTCTAGCAATCTTGAAAAATCTGGCGTTTTGCCTTTGATATTAGAATATTGTAGTTCACACTAATCTTTGTGAGATTTCAATTGACCATATCAGTTTTGTTATAAGTAACAATCCCAGTTAGCACTGATATATAAACGATAATATGCCCTACAACATCTACACTGTAGTGTAAACCTACATATAGAACACCGAAATCAGGCTTTGTTCTGGATCATATTCCAAATATTGACTTTCTTTGCTACCTTTTGAATGAGTAGCAATGCTGGTTACTGAACAATTAAATAATTGGACACGCCATGTAAAGATGGCTGTCAAACAGTTTGAAGAATTTGTTTCGATATTACCAATAGTTAAAGTAATGAAGTATGCATGAGGAACACGCTCAAACAGCTTAGCTGTAAATATGAACTTTTGATCAAACATACAACGGTCTGTACAGTTGACATTAGATGAACTTGGCTATGCCTGTTATGTTTCTTCTGGTTATATTTGACCATTCCAATATCATCATAGTATATTTATCGTGATTTATATTTGGTATGTTAGGGTGATGTATTTTTCAACAAACGGTCGGAATTCACATGAAAACAAAATGTGTTCGTCATTTGTCTTTTGAACACGGTGTTGTCAGTCTTTTTTTGTGTGGCTTATTATGGTTATTGGTTGCCCCTCGGTTCTGCACTCCCTTTTCAGCAATTAGTGAGACTTTCAGAGTCCGGGGTGATTTTAAAGTATGAAAAAAACCTCAATAAAGCCTTACTTTTTGGCCGCACAAAATTTTATAAAGTGTTAATTTCATTATTGTATTACTTTAAAACGTCCTTGCATTTATGAACCGGGAGCTAAATACTCTCGGTGCAGTTATTGCTAGAATACATCTTCATATATATTAGAAAATCAAGATACAAAAACTAAAGATTGGTTTGCATACTGACAGGAAATAATTTCCTGTTCCGCAGAATATTATTGGTTAAACACTACAATCTAAGGTTGCAATACATTTTTTGAAGAAAGCTAATTCAGTAATTTCTTTCGTTAATTTTTAATTGTGAATCCAGTACAATATATTGGTGTTCACTTTTGAAAATATAACCCAGATTATTTTAGATTCTAGATTGTTTTGTTTTCATTCTACATAATTCCTTGTTGAACTACTACAAATTCTGGAGCAGCGGGGAAGACTGTTCACTTAGATGGTTAACCAGTCACATACATTATGTGCTTGCCAAAAGTAAGGTTCACATTGGGTCTAGCTTTCTTTATTTTATGATATTAGATGCTTTCCTTCATACGTTCTTTAATTTTACTGAAAATGTAATGGTAACCAATATATGTTAATATAAAAAATGAAATTAACAGTTTATAAATCTAATGATTCAGTAATTATTAACCTAAACATTAGGGGTGGAACAGGGTTAAGAGAACCGCGGAATGAGGTGGCGGGAAGCGTGAGTCTGTTGAGGAAAGTGGGAGTCAGAGGAGGTAAACAGGACACAGCGGGTAGTGACTAGGAGAAGAGGGGAGTGAAAGATAGGGGAAAGTTTCTTTGACCGATTTTCGACTGGAAGCTAGGGAAAAGAATTTGGAGTACGAGAGAAGGAAATGAGGGTTGGGGAGGGAAATGGGAATCAGGGACCCCCTGCCCATACCCTCAAACTTACGGGCGTACCACATTTATGAAGTGTGAATTTTGTTTTATTGAAACACGGACTTGCATTTGTGAACTTAGAGCCACACGTATTAATTTTCACGGAATGTAGCAGTGTTATATGAAATAAGATTTTAAATGGTCATTGTAAGTAGACATGTGATTATATACAAGTAGTGTAAGTAGTACACTTATAACGTTAAATGTTTCTATTTTCGTTTTAATGTTTTGTGTAATTGACCACGATATATATTTCTCTAATTTTTGTGCTGTTTTCTCATTTCTTGACCGGTGTGAGAAAAATATTTCTCCTCACTAGTAAAAAATATGTTCTCGGCAAATGATTGGTCGAAATTTAATTATGACGTCAAATTTTCTTGGTTTCTTCTGAATTTTCCTATTGTAACGTCATGAAAAAAGGTGACAATGCCTGATGACGTCACATATAAAGAACACACTTTCCGCAAATCTTTGAAAAGGAAGGATAAAAAACATTAGAGAAACAGATTCCACCACTATAACTCGTGTATTACGATATTTCCCCACTCTCAACAGTTAGATTTAAGGTATTCAAAAAGCTCGACAAGCTTCGCGCTTTGAATATTAAAATTTAACAGTCTCAAGTGGACAAATATCGTAACACTTGATGCAGTGGTGAAATCTTAATTTTACAATTAAAGGTATCAAAGTAACTCAAAGAAAATAATATACTAGTATATATCTATATACAAATAGTACTACCATGGCCAGTCACAGAGGAAAAATTAACAGAATATGTCACTGTTTGTATGACTCAAATATAAGAGCAATGCTAAGTTTTGATCAACAAATATCTTAGATAAGACCACTAGGAGCGTAACTTGTCGAAAAGTACGTATCTTTGTATCTAATGGTTTGCTACGCCCTTTGCAGCCTTCCTTACTATCACTTATATGGACTGTCCTTCTTCGTACGTACCATTCGTCACAACTCGGCCGATTCCGTACCTTCATCTAACGGATAGCGTATTCACCCGAGGATTGCCGATTGCGTACGTACATTAATAAACGTCACAATACCCAACTAGGTGGTGAAATTATAAACGGATCGATCCTCAGCGATGTCTGTAAATTAGAGCAATTGAGTCGGGATTCATATGCCTTGTATAACATGCATACCTCAAGACGCTTATTTTATCGATAGATCCGGTTTCACTCAGTGTAAAGATAATTGGTATCCATTTGAGTTTTGCTTCTTTGCGTTTGTTTATTCAAAATGTGTTTAATATAAACCGATAGATATGTCTCCTACAAACTATGTTTTAAAGCTGTAATTCGGACGTGAAGTTTCAGCTTGGCATATCGATCTTGCACAAGTAAGGCTGGACTCTCTTCTTCTTGTATATTCAAATGTTTTGCCGCAACTATTTAGCCATTGCATAGTAGTAACACGTTCCAATGTAAGTCATATAGTAGCATCTGTCATTGACAGTGACATGTCCATTTTAGCAAATTTTGTCGTTTTTTGGTTATTATCTTGAAAGTTTATAGATAGAGAGAAATGGTATGCAATAAAAATGAACAGAACAATAAGTTCTACAAATAGATTAAGTCAATACGGCAGAAATCGTCAATTCCCCTTATAGGACCCATTGTATTTTAATTGATGATTCAGTTTTACCCTAATTGCATTTTTTTGCGGAAACTATTATGAATAAATAGAGAAATATTGTAAGTAGCGCCATTGTTAAACAAAAAAAAAAAAGATCTATTGTCTTATAAATATTTTCTTTTCCTGTAGTCATATAATTAAGCTATTTGGAAAGGATCAGAACCCACCATATTTTTTAATAATGTTCTGACCATTTAAACTCAGTCCAGTGAACTAGTTAAAACTTACTTATCATACAGAACCATTGCATCAGCTTGAGCCTGCATGCCGTCATAACCTGATTCATAAAGAGTTAAATACCTTTTGTAAGTTATCTCGAAAACTATAATAGAAAGGAATATGATCTCAATTAAGGCAACCAGTCCAGTACCCACGATCGTAGTTCTTTAAAAGAATGGTATAGTGTAATTATTACACAAGTTCTGTAACTGAATGTAGATTTATTTAAAAGGTTAGGCTTTCTAATTTGAATTTCTGTAAAAATTTTGATTAATTTAAATGTAATCTGGGTCAGTACATAGAGTAAATTGCCTAAATTCTAGCCTTTATTCTTCACCGGAAGTAGACTGACTGACACTGTTGTCAATCAAAACGTTTTAATTTCATCATACAGGTTAACACGTGATGATGTAAACGTGCATTTTATACATTTGTAACGTTTATACATATGCTATTTACACAAGATCCATACTTTATTTCCTTTGTCAGTTCAAAGTGCGGATTATCACATTTGATGTCTTGTAAATTGTGAAGATTAAAAACTACATTCATCAATAGAGTATTTTTTTTTTCATTTTAACAGCTCTATATGTATCATCGACCGTTATGGAATAACCGTTTCACAGATGATATCGGATATGTTCCTTATGTCGTAACTACAATACCCTCCCTTTTCACGAATGTGACTTACCGAATTAGACTATTTACCGGATTTGTAATAACATAAGTAACACGACGGGTGCCACATGTGGAGCAGGATCTGCTTACCCTTCCGGAGCACCTGAGATCACCCCCAGTTTTTGGTGGGGTTCTTGTTGC